AGTGTCGGGCACTGTCCTGGCCTCAGACACTCCCAGACCTGCACAGGCTGACAACCGCGCGGTCCCGCTCCAATGGGAGAGTAAGACACCGAGCGGCTCCCGGTTACAGTCGCGCACACCCCGCGGAGGCGGGAGATTTCTTTATTGGTTTAAAAATAGTCCAAGGTGGCGCCTCCTTCTGTAAACCAGCTACCTGTGCCCAGCCAGGCTCAACCCCCCCCCGCCCCCAGCCCCCCTCATACCCAACACCCCCCCAGCCCCCCTCATACCCAACACCCCCCCCAGCCCCCTCATACCCAACACCCCCCCAGCCCCCTCATACCCAACACCCCCCCCCAGCCCCCCTCATACCCAACACCCCCCCAGCCCCCCTCATACCCAACACCCCCCCCAGCCCCCTCATACCCAACACCCCCCCCAGCCCCCCTCATAACCAACACCCCCCCCAGCCCCCTCATACCCAACACCCCCCCCCCCCAGCCCCCTCATACCCAACACCCCCCCAGCCCCCCTCATACCCAACACCCCCCCAGCCCCCCTCATACCCAACACCACCCCCCAACCCCCCCTCATACCCAACACCCCCCCCAGCCCCCCTCATACCCAACACCCCCCCCAGCCCCCTCATACCCAACACCCCCCCCAGCCCCCCTCATACCCAACACCCCCCCCAGCCCCCCTCATACCCAACACCCCCCAGCCCCCCTCATACCCAACACCCCCCCCAGCCCCCCTCATACCCAACACCCCCCCAGCCCCCTCATACCCAACAACCCCCCAGCCCCCCTCATACCCAACACCCCCCCAGCCCCCTCATACCCAACACCCCCCAGCACCCCTCATACGCAACACCCCCCAGCCCCCCTCATACCCAACACCCCCCAGCCCCCCTCATACCCAACCGCCCCCAGCCCCCTCATACCCAACATCCCCCCCCAGCCCCCCTCATACCCTGCCCCAGCATCCACCCCCACTCATAGCCTGCCCCAACACACCCCCCAGACACCCTAATACCTGGCCCCAGCATTCCCCACTCAGCTCCACCCATACCCCACCCCCCGCACTCAGGTCCCCCCATACACCCCCCCACACTCAGCTCCCCGCATACAACCCCCCCCACTCAGCTCCCCGCATACAACCCCCCCACTCAGCACCCCCATACACCCCCCCCACTCAGCTCCCCACATACAACCCCCCACACTCAGCTCCCCCCATACACCTCCCCACTCAGCTCCCCCCATAAACCCCCCACACTCAGCTCCCCCATACACCCCCCACTCAGCTCCCCCCATACACACCCCCCTACTCAGCTCCCCCCATACACCCCCCACTCAGCTCCCCCCATACACCCCCCACTCAGCTCCCCCCATACACCCCCCACTCAGCTCCCCCCATACCCCCACTCAGCTCCCCCCATACACCTCCCCACTCAGCTCTCCCCATACACCCCCCACACTCAGCTCCCCCCATACACCCCCCACTCAGCTCCCCCCATACACACCCCCCACTCAGCTCCCCCCATACACCCCCACTCAACTCCCCCCATACACCCCCCCACTCAGCTCCCCCCATACCCCACTCAGCTCCCCCCATACCCCCCCACTTAGCTCCCCCCATACACCTCCCCACTCAGCTCCCCCATACACCCCCCACACTCAGCTCCCCCCATACACCCCCCACTCAGCTCCCCCCATACACACCCCCCACTCAACTCCCCCCATACACCCCCCCACTCAACTCCCCCCATACCCCCACTCAGCTCCCCCCATACACCCCCCCCACATTCAGCTCCCCCCATACACCCCCCCCACTCAGCTCCCGCCATACAACCCCTCAGCTCCCCCCATACACCCCCCACACTCAGCTCCCCTCATACACCCCCTCAGCTAGCCCCCATAAACCCTCCCCACTCATCTCCCCCATAACTCCCCCCCACTCATCTTCCCTGTAAACTCATCTCCCCCTGTAACCCCCCCCACTCATCTACCCCCAAAAAGCCCCCCCTCAGCTCCCCCCAAAACCCACCCAGAACCACCCACCCCCGCTCAGCTCGCGCCCATTGCCCCACTGCTCAGCTCCCCACCATACATCCCCTCCACCGCTCAGCTCCCCCATACACCCCCCAACTCCCCCAAACCCCCTCCGCACCCCGGCTCAGCTCCCCTCTCCCCCATTCCCCCCCGGCTCAGCTCCCCCCCATTCCCCCCACCCCGGCTCAGTTCCCCTCCACCCCCATTCCCCCCCGGCTAAGTTTCCCTCATTCCCCCCCCGGCTCAGCTCCACCACGCATTTCCCCCACCCAGCTCTCCCCCCCTTTCCCCTCCAGCTCAGCTCCCCGCCCCCCCGCCCTATTAAACCCCAGCTCCCTCCCCCCCATTCCCCCCCGGCTCAGATCACCTCCCCCATTCCCCCCAGCTCTCCCACCCCCCCATTCCCCGGCTCTCCCACCCCCCCCATTCCCCCGGCTCAGCTCTCCTCCCCCATTCCCCCCGGCTCTCCCACCCCCCCATTCCCCCCGGCTCAGCTCTCCTCCCCCATTCCCCCCCGGCTCTCCCACCCCCCCATTCCCCCCCATCCCCCACCCACCCAGCTCTCCCCCCCATTCCCCTCCAGCTCAGCTACCCGCCCCCCCCCGCCCCATTAAACCCCAGCTCCCTCCCCCCCATTCCTCCCCAGCTCAGCTCTCCCCCCATTCCCCCCCGGCTCAGCTCTCCTCCCCCATTCCCCCCCCAGCTCTCCCATCCTCCCATTCCCTGGCTCTCCCACCCCCCCATTCCCCCCATCCCCCCCCCCCGGCTCAGCTGTCCCCCCCAATTTCCCCCCAGCTCTCCCCCCACCCATTCCCTCCCAGCTCTCCCCCGGCTCAGCTCTCCCCCCCCCATTCCCCCCCTGCTCAGCTCCCCCTCATAACCGCCCGCCACCGCTGAGCTCCTCCCCATACTCCCCTCTTTGCTCCGCTCCCCCCATACCCCGCATAAACACCCCCCCTCCTCAGCTCCCCACTTACCCCTAAAGAAGCTGCCCTCTTATCCCCGGACTCAGCTCCCCTCATACACCGGGGGAGGGCCGGGCCGGAGCGGGGGCGGGGGGCGGAGGCGGTTCGGGAGCGCAGGGGGTCGGGGAGGTGGGGGTCGGGGGCGGAGGGGGGCGGAGGGGGTCGGGGGTGGGGCGCGGAGGGGGTCGGGGGTGGGGGAGTCGGGAGGTGGAGGCGATCGGGGGCGGAGGGGGATGGGGGTCGGGAGGTGGAGGGGGTCGGAGGGGGATGGGGGGGTCGCGGGTGGGGAGAGGAGGGGATGGGGGGTTCGGGGGTGGGGGTCGGAGGGGGATGGGGGGTTCGGGGGTGGAGGGAGGAGGGGGATGGGGGGTTCGGGGGTGGCGGGAGGAGGGGGTGGGGTGTCGGGGTGGGGGGTCGGGGTGGGGGGAGGAGGGGGGTAGGGGGAGGAGGGGGGGGAGGGTCGGGGTGGGGGGAGGAGGGGGGTGGGGGGTCGGGGTGGGGGGTCGGGGTGGGGGGAGGAGGGGGATGGGGGGTCGGGGTGGGGGGGTCGGGGTGGGGGGAGGAGGGGGATGGGGGGTCGGGGTGGGGGGTCGGGGTGGGGGGAGGAGGGGGAGGAGGGGGTGGGGGGTCGGGGTGGGGGGAGAAGGGGGGTGGGGGTGGGGGGAGGAGGGGGGTCGGGGTGGGGGAGGAGGGGGTCGGGGTGGGGGGAGGAGGGGGATGGGGGGGTCGGGGTGGGGGTCGGAGGGGGGTGGGGGAGTCGGGGTGGGGGTCGGGGTGGGGGGGGGGAGGAGGGGGGAGGGGGGTCGGGGTGGGGGTCGGAGGGGGGTGGGGGGGTCGGGGTGGGGGGTCGGGGTGGGGGTCGGAGGGGGATGGGGGGGTCGGGATGGGGGTTCGGGATCGGGGGGTCGGGGTGGGGGGAAGAGGGGGGTGGGGGTCGGGGTGGGGGGTCGGGGTGGGGGGAGGAGGGGGGTGGGGGGTCGGGGTGGGGGGTCGGGGTGGGGGAGGAGGGGGGTGGGGGGTCGGGGTGGGGGGAGGAGGGGGGTGGGGGGGTCGGGGTGGGGGGTCGGGTGGGGAGGAGGGGGGAGGGGGGTCGGGGTGGGGGAGGAGGGGGGTGGGGGGGTCGGGGTGGGGGGAGGAGGGGGTGGGGGAGTCGGGGTGGGGGGAGGAGGGGGGTGGGGGGGTCGGGTGGGGGAGGAGGGGGGTGGGGGGTCGGGGTGGGGGAGGAGGGGGTGGGGGAGTCGGGGAGGGGGGAGGAGGGGGTCGGGGTGGGGGAGGAGGGGGGTGGGGGAGTCGGGGTGGGGGGAGGAGGGGGAGGAGGGGGTCGGGGTGGGGGGAGGAGAGGGGTGGGGGGAGGAGGGGGGGGGGGTCGGGGTGGGGGGGAGGGGGGTCGGGGTGGGGGGAGGAGGGGGGTGGGGGGTCGGGGTGGGGGGAGGAGGGGGGGTGGGGGGAGGAGGGGGTTGGGGGGTCGGGGTGGGGGGTCGGGGTGGGGGGGGGTGGGGTGGGGGGAGGAGGGGGTGGGGGGGTCGGGGAGGGGGGAGGAGGGGGGTGGGGGGGTCGGGGTGGGGGGAGGAGGGGGGTGGGGGGTCGGGGTGGGGGGTCGGGGGGGGGGGAGGGGGGGGTGGGGGGGTCGGGGTGGGGGAGGAGGGGGTGGGGGGTCGGGGTGGGGGGTCTCAGCTGCTTTAAGTCTCGGCTCCAGAGTTGTTGCCATTTCAGCCGTTACGTCAGAGCGCGTCACGTGTCCCAGGAATTGAGCGCGACCATTGTGGGGGGTGTGGGGGGTGGAGGGGGTGAGGCGGTTGTGGCCCCCGAGGCCGCCCCGCGCCCGGTGTGGGCACAGAGCCCGAGCTCACAGCAAACTCAGTTGTGTAGACCCCGAGTGCGGGGCCCCTGCGCGGGGGCGACGGAGCGCGGGCCGGTCCGGCCCGGGGGCCGCTCCCCCCACACCCCCCGCAGTGGTTGCGGCCGAGGCTCAAATTCTCAGAACTGAAGGTTCGCTTCTCAGAGCCGCACTTCCAGGAACTCGAGCAGGTGATGCGCGGCGCCCCCTCCCCCCCGGCCCGCGGGCCGCCCCCGGCCCCCCCGCTCTGGTTATCCCACTGGCTGACAGCTTCTCGCTCGGGCTCGGCATTCCGGCTGTTTCTCTCTATGCACAGTGTGCAGTGCCGCGCACGGCTTCTCTGTTATATTCTCTGTTTCTCACGTGTGTTTGTGTGTGAGTGAGAGGGAGTGTGAGCAGTCACTGAGGGAGAGAGGGGCAGTGTGGGAGCAGTCAGTGAGGGGCTGTGCGCTTGTCCCGGGATATGTTTGGCTGATGTTGGCCTCTCGCAGCCCGGACTTGCTGTTGTTTCTCGGGCACACGCCGTGGGCCGCCGGAGCCGGTGGTGTCTGTCTGTGTTGGTCGTGGAAGTTTGTCCGCTGATCGGGAGAGCGGCTCCGCTGTGCTCGGGGCTGCGCTGCAGTCAGTCCGGGACAGTGTGTGTGTGTGTGGAGCGGCTGCTGTCAGCCCCCGAGGCGCCCCTCTCTCTCTCTCTCTGCGCTGCAGGTTCATGAGGTTCTCAGTCAGATGACATCCTCACACCGGGTTCGCGTGTTTCTTAAGAAAAAAAATCAGAGTGAAATGGGCCGAACTCGGGCAGTGTGTCACCCCCGGGAGGACCCGCCGCACACTGTCCCTCGTCAGCAGATCGTGAGCGGAGTCGCGCTGAGCCGCGCGGTCACAAACTACTGACTTGTTTCAAACTCAATCGGCGGAATTTACTCCAAAGCCTTTTAATAGATTAGAATAAGCCAATGTGTTGAGCTGCGATCATATTGAATTCGTTTTAATGTGTCCACAAAACTCTGTCTCTGTATCTCTCTCTCTGTCTCTATATCTCCGTCACTGTCTCTTTCTATGTCTCTCTCCGTCTCTCTGTCTCCATCTCTCTCTCTCTCTCTCTCTCTCGGCGAGTTGGCGTTTAATCACTAACAGGGGTTCCAATATTTGCAGAAGGCAAAGCACACTGTGTTCGGTTGGGAGTGAGGAGGCTGTTTCAGTGGGTGTTGGTTGGGCTGTAGGCCCCAGTGGCTGTGATGACTGTGTGTTGATGATATTTAATGTGTTTACAGTCCGGAGCGGCCGCACTTGTTGACTCTGGTTCAGCTACTAATGTGTGTGAATGTACATGTGGAGGCGGTTTGACCTGAGCTGTGACAGTGCGAGCAGACAGACTCGGTCATTATGGAGTTGCTATTTTACTGCTCTCGGCTGGAGAGAGGTTTTAGGAAAGAGCGATTCCTTTCAGATGATATTTTGGAGGATTTTGCAAACTTTCTGTGTGTGTTACAGAGGGGGAGAGAGAGAGAAGGGAAGATGCTGTTTTGGTTAGTTTCCCGCACGCCGTGTTCAGCAGCGGGTCCCGGTCTGGCCGTCACTCAGGGCATGTTGTTGTGGAGGATTTGCTGCCCTGAACTTGGCAACCGGTCAGACATGGACTCATAAATCCCCAGCGCTGTTGGCCGCTATCCACACGCTATTCCTGGAGGTACTAGCGTTAGAGGAGATGAGATTCATCAGTGTGGTATCCTCCCTCCCCAGCACAGCCAGTGCGAGCTGGTGACACAGTTTGAGGGCTGAGTTTTCCCGGACACGGCTGTGTACGGCGCTATAGCGCAGTTGTGTGGCTTCGAGCGCTCGCTGTTTTGATGTGTTCACGCTCCGGCAGAGCAGACAGATGTGAAACGCACTTACACACACCGACACCTCTTTGCCTTCCAGTAATTCATTCTGGGCAAAAAGTTGCAGTGGATGGATTTTTTTGACTTTTTAAAAAAAACTTGAATTAAGTGATTGGAACTTTTCCTAACAACAAAAATAATAAAGGGCAAAGCGCCTTTCACGTCGAGAGGACGTCTAAAGTTTAGTTTCGAACAAAGCATATTCCTCTCAGTGTTTAAGGAGTAGTCTGTGTGTGTGTGGAGAGGTCGGGCTCAGGGTGAGGAGAATGACTGCTTTGCCTCTGATAAACATTTACCAAATATTGTCACAACAAATGTCGCGGCGGTGGCGCTGCGCTGTGCAGTGCAGTGCAGTGAGGCGCCTCCTGCTGGTGGGCAGCGCTACTGCAGCGCCTTCTTATTACCAAATACAGCAACAGGTTGAGATTTGAGATTCCGCGGCTGCGTTGCTGTCATCTCTGATCTCAATCTAATATATAATTGTAACGTTGATGCCTCTCGTATCGAATACATGTATCAACTCCCCGACCAGAGCCTGACTCAGGTTCATAATGTGGCACTTGATGACTTTTACTGACTTTTTATACACTCTTTTATATCGGGTGTCAATAATCGTCGAGATTTGCTGACAGGAAGCCTTGATTATTTCATAATGTGGGTTGCACTCATTAAAGTGTGCTCCTGACTGCTGGTGTTGGGAGAAAGGATGCCATAAATTTTAATTATTGACTTATTCTTAAAAAAAAGTTTACAAAGATTTCAAAAGTTAATGCATTCTGTACAAACAGAATCTATAAGACGAGTCTTTTTTTAAAAAAAAACATGTTTTGTGTTCAAATATAAAAGTTGGTGTTAAATGTCAGTAATCTTCATTGTGTGAGGGTTATTGTTCCCGCAATGTAATCCTCCCTTGTGGCTTAGTATTTGTCCAAATACAAAATCTTTAACAAGACCAGTTCTAGTTGAGGGCGTGGGTTTTATTTACTATATATTGTGGAAAATATTACTTTTTTTCAAGAAGAGAACTCAGTGACCTGCAGAGCCAGTGGCGTGTCTGTGAGTGTCTGTAGGCGGCGCTCCACTGCAGCAGCAGATGAATGTGGCACAGCTGTAGCCTTCCTCACGGGCCGAGGTCGCCCCCTGGCGGCCGGTCCCCCGCATGTCAATATTGACTGAGGATGCACTCAATGCACTCTGTGTCTGTCTGTCTGTCTGTCGGTCTGTCTGTCTGTCTGTCTGTCTGGGAGACGGATGCGACGCTGCCCTTTTGGGCTTTTCTATCTGCAGACGGGAATCGTACAGGAAATGGCAGAGCTCAGAAGCCCAACTCCTTTGCTTCTTCCTGATACCTTTGTGATGATTTAGTTTGTAACTTTACCTCCTCCTTATTAAGTGTTACTACCGACAGGAACACGCTATAACCTCTTGTAGATAAACACGATACTATTTAAATTATTTAAACTAATTACTATTTAAATTAGGCTATTTATCCTAATCCCAAACGCAGATAGAAAGTTTAATTAAACTGTGTGTAGTCTGATCGCGGGGTCTGGCAATTGGCCTCCAGTTCTACCTGCACGAGTCAGTTGAGTACTGGCATTTTCATGTAGATTATAATTTTTAAAAAATCCAGCGACTTCCCTGTGCCATCATTTAAGTAAATCTTTTAAATGGAAGTTTAGTTGGAGCTCCTGAGCTCTGGGGTGCTCCGGGAGCTGCAGATTGCCTCCTTTCTGTAGTCGCTTTCTTTCAACATTTAACGTTTGGAAAACGAGCAGATTGTGGCAACTGCAGCGGCGGAGTGGCCACAGCACCGGGACCCCACTGCACTGACTGACTGTGGAGAGGAATCGTATCTTGTGACGATTCAGTGGCAAGTTTCACACGAGTTGAATCTGCTGTGAACTTGGAAACTGATCCCTCTGACGTGTGTTCTCCATCCAGAACGATGAGTCCTTACCGCAGTGAGAGCTGACAACTCCTGGGAAGGTCTCCAGCCGCCCCCAAACTGCACACAGTTAATACAAACATCAGAGAATAGTAATGTAAAATACCTGGTCTCTGGTTATCTGATCCACACGGCAGAGTTTCTAGGAACGTGTCAGTTTTCAAGAAGATACTCGGACATATTCAGTTTATGGCTAATTTACTTATAATCCACAACACGAAGAGATTAATGCAGTTCTGGGGAAGGTCTGAAACTGGGGGTACGTGTGAGCCCCCCACCCCCCCCCCCACCCCCCAACTACACCGCGTGCTCATTACACCCAGACCCAGGAAGCCCTTCTCTTTACCCAGTAATGACCAACGCTATTCCGGCAGTTCCAGCATTGCCCACATCGTGCGACTCTCCTGTATAATGTGAAGCCGTTGTAGGAGCTTTTGATCGCGATTCCAAACGACCTGTAAATCAACGTTACAGTCCTGAGCGAAGTTAAAATGAGACTTTGAACTTGAAATCCCTGTCCACTGCGCCCCCTGCCGGCCAGTGCCCACTGCGCCCCCTGCCGGCCAGTGCCCACTGCGCCCCCTGCCGGCCAGCGCCCACTGCGCCCCCTGCCGGCCAGTGCCCACTGCGCCCCCTGCCGGCCAGTGCCCACTGCGCCCCCTGCCGGCCAGCGCCCACTGCGCCCCCTGCCGGCCAGTGCCCACTGCGCCCCCTGCCGGCCAGTGCCCACTGCGCCCCTGCGGCCAGTGCCCACTGCGCCCCCTGCCGGCCAGTGCCCACTGCGCCCCCTGCCGGCCAGTGCCCACTGCGCCCCCTGCCGGCCAGCGCCCACTGCGCCCCCTGCCGGCCAGTGCCCACTGCGCCCCCTGCCGGCCAGTGCCCACTGCGCCCCCTGCCGGCCAGTGCCCACTGCGCCCCCTGCCGGCCAGTGCCCACTGCGCCCCCTGCCGGCCAGTGCCCACTGCGCCCCCTGCCGGCCAGAGCCCACTGCGCCCCCTGCCGGCCAGTGCCCACTGCGCCCCCTGCCGGCCAGTGCCCACTGCGCCCCCTGCCGGCCAGTGCCCACGGCGCCCCCTGCCGGCCAGTGCCCACGGCGCCCCCTGCCGGCCAGTGCCCACGGCGCCCCCTGCCGGCCAGTGCCCACGCGCCCCCTGCCGGCCAGCGCCCACTGCGCCCCCTGCCGGCCAGCGCCCACTGCGCCCCCTGCCGGCCAGCGCCCACTGCGCCCCTGCCGGCCGCGCCCACTGCGCCCCCTGCCGGCCGGCGCCCACTGCGCCCCCTGCCGGCCAGCGCCCACTGCGCCCCCTGCCGGCCGGCGCCCACGGCGCCCCCTGCCGGCCGGCGCCCACGGCGCCCCCTGCCGGCCGGCGCCCACGGCGCCCCCTGCCGGCCGGCGCCCACGGCGCCCCCTGCCTCAGTACAGCTGTGGAAAGCCGCAGAGACGGGATCGCGGAGAGGGGGTGATGCACATTTTCAAATAAGTGTCTATGGAGGGATATCAGAACCGCTTGAGGGTGAATGGCCGCCTCCGACCCCACAGCGCCACTGGGACGGACCAGTCTCGGGAGGTGGGCGGATGGGGAATCTCGTGTGTTTGACCGAACCTCTCGGGATTGCTATCGGTTTGAGTTGAAGTCCTGTGATGCCTCTAAGACTTTCCGTAACACACTTTGCTCTTTGCTGTCATCTCTTTGCCTGTTGTTTGCTTCTCCCCCCACACTCTTCCAGTTTTGATGCGTGTTGAGGTGTTTGCGTTGCTGGGTCTGGGGTGAGTGTTGTGGAGGATGTGGGCACAGTCTTTAAATAACAGACTGAGCTCCGAGAGTTAGTAGGGAAATTCTCTACGGAAACTTCAGCCGAAAGTTATCTGATCAAAGTGATTAGCTGAGAGAGTCGCACTTTCTCACAGAGAAGCCCGCGATGTGAAAACGACACTAATCAATACAGAGTGTGGGAAGTGTTTCAAGGCAACGGATGGTGTGTAAAACCGCAGATGTCATCGGCGAATTGTTATAACCCGCACATCCTGAGTTGGGGAGTGTTGGGGCGGAGGGAGACATCAATGACAGACAATTATCATTCAGGCCATCCTGTCTGCTGGGAAGTACTCTGGCTTCTTATTTCCTTTTTTGAATGTGATTATCCTGTGTTTAATAAACAATCGGCAATTCCAGATATTAGTTCAATAGTCTGGGTATAGTTTCCAAGAATGTTTAGGATCAGATATATTTATATTCCGTGAAATCAGCCCCGGCTGCCGTCGCACTGCCGTCCCAGACCGGTTCCAGGAATCGTTCAACAAAGCATTCCTTCGTTCTGCAGTTCATCTGCCAACATAGCGACACAGTCACTCACACACACAGCGAGAGATAACTCAGACAGACAGACAGACAGACAGGTATGTGGCCATACTGTACTGAGGCTGGCAGCAGGTATTTGATGTTACACTGGTGGGGTGGGGGGGGGGCTGCACGGCATGTTCTCCTCTGGGAGTGGTGGGGAGGGGGACTGTCAACGTGAAGTAGTTGCAATAATCTGCTTAGTGCCGTGAGATTTAATCAATGACAAACTGTACTTTAGCAATCGGGGAGTGTGTGTATATCGGCCAAATACACCCAAATGTATCCGAGGAATCGATAAATTCCATCTGGATCCTTTAAACAAGTCCCGCCTCTCCCACTCTCCTCCCCCCCCCCCCTCCCTGCCCCCCCAGTGATCCGGACCCCCAGAAATGTCGTGGTCAGTAACAACAAATAACTTAGATTTGACAATTTTTTTTCAGATTTGCAACTGAACTAAATTTTCTGCCTTGCTGGGTTGCCAGGTGCTATTTGGGTAAGTAATAATAATTAATAATAAGCTGGGACAATTTGATATTCATATATTAGAATATTAAACACTTTCGAACCAAACTTCGGCCATTGTGGTTCAGAGGCCATGTGCTCATTTTTGTTTGCCGTGGGGAGGCGGGCTGTTTGGTTCGGTTGGGGGTGGCAGTGTGGTCAGGTGGGTCCGACCATACCTTACCCCAAATGCAGCCGAAACCCTTGTGCATGCATTTGTCACCTCCCACCTGGATTACTCCAACGCACTCCTCGCTGGTCTCCCCATCTCCACTATTCAAAAAATCCATCTTATTCAGAACTCTGCCGCCCACATACTGTCCTGGACCAAACTCCGTCCCCACATCTCACCAGCGCTGCCCCAGACTCCACTGGCGCCCCATCACCAAACAGATCGACTTCAAGATCCTCACTCACGTGTTCCATTCCCTTCACTCCCTGGAACCTCCCTCCCTCTCCGACCCCCTCACTCTCCCCAATCCACTACCTGGCACCTCCGCTCGACTGGCACTGGCAGAAGCTCATCCCTCGCACCCGCCGCCCCACCATCGGAGGTTGTGCTTTCAGCTACTACGCCCCAAAACTCTGAAACACTCCCTCAATCCCTCCGCCTTGCCCTTTCTTTCCCCTTTTCAAAACCTTCCTCTTCCACCGTGGTTACGGCCAACTCCCCCTCCCCCTCCCCCCGGCTCAGAATCAGTCTGTGCACTGTTAAATGCTCTGATACCCTCCCCTGTGTGGAAGGTGCTATGTATGTGCAAGTTGTTGTTGTGGGCAGTGTTGGGGGTGCGATGGGGGGGGGGAGAGGCAGTGGGGTTGCGATGGGGGGGGGGGGAGAGGCAGTGGGGTCGTGGGGGTGCAGTGTGGTCGGATGGGGTTGTGGGGGGGAGGCAGTGTGGTCGGATGGGCGGGGGGTTGGCTCCAGGCCAGTTTTGCCAGCCGGACCAGACTGACTGCCTTCCTGTTATAGTCAGCATGGCCTCAGCAGCGGACAGCTGCATACAATTCACCAGACACGCCAGCGACGTGCTCCTGAACCTGAATCGGCTTCGGAGCAGAGACATTCTCACTGATGTCACCATCCTGGTGGATCGACGGCATTTCCGTGCTCACAAGACGGTGCTGATGGCATGCAGGTAACAGCAAAGCCACCAACCTGTCACCTGTAGCCAAATTCTACTCACATTTTCATCATCAAAACTATTCCCCAAAGTTCCAGCAAACTTTTATTTGGAGGTTGGAACAAGTGCCATGTAGCTTGGTGTCCACTAGAAGGAGCTGTGATTTGTGGGGATGGGGAGCGGAGTCAACAAAGTGTTAGGAGGGGAGTTGCTCATACATGCATTCATAACATCAAGGCTTGACTACGCAAACTTACTGCTTGTTGGCCTCCAACTCCTCCCTCCATAGGCTGCAGATCATCCAGAACTCTGCAGCCCTTGTCCTCTCCTGCACCAGGCTCCGTGACCCTATCACCCTCATCCTCGCCCGACTCCACTGGCTTCCCATCACACAGAGGCTGCAGTTCAAGATCCTCATCCTCACCTTCAAAGCCCTCCATGGCCTTGCTCCCACCTACCTCTTAACCCCCTACCAACCTGCCTGCTCCCTCCACTCAGTGGGCTCCGGCCTGCTTCACTCGCCTCACCTCGCCCGACTCCACTGGCTTCCCATCTCACAGAGAATACAGTTCAAGATCCTGATCCTTACCTTCAAAGCCCTTCATGGCCTTGCTCCCACCTACCTCTGCAACCTCCTAACCCCCCACCAATCTCCTTCAAGAACTATCTCAAGAGCGTCCTCTTCGACCGGGCCTTTGATCACCCTCCTTTTCCCCCCTACCCTTCACCCTCCCTGATCCCGACCCCCAGCTCGGGTCCGAAACACTGATTGTCCAGCGCATTGGAACGTCCTCCCGACAAATTACACTTGTAATTTTGCTGTTGTTTGCTATTGAAGTGTTTCTTCTTTCTCCAAATGGTTCGTTGTCAACACCTGGATGCCCCCCCACCCCCCTTGGCCCCCCCAGCATTGCCAACAATCTTCTGTTGCAGATCAAATGGTGACCACTTGATCTGCTGCAGGGTCACATTGCAATCTTCATGTTGATCCTCCAATAAGAGTGTTGCTTATGCAGATTGGAAAACAGTTAAGTGAAGTCCAAGTCCCCATGTAGGTGACAAAACTTAATTTATTAGCACAGAACATCACGTCTGTGCCACTGCTTCATGTTTTTAACTGATCCAACTTGCCAATTTCTTCCTGAAATCCTCACGTTTTTACTTATTTAACTCCTGGACTAACCCATTCTGCACTGCTCTGTTCACAGTGGCCTTTTCTACACTATCTTCACTGATCAGATGAAGTTTAACCTGAATGTGATCAGTCTGGACCCTGATGTTGACCCAGATGGGTTTGGGATATTGCTGGATTTCATGTACACATCCCGCCTCCCCCTGCGAGACAGCAGCATCATGCTGGTCATGAACACCGCCCTTTATCTCCAGATGGACCATGTGGTCAGCACCTGCCACCGGTTCCTTCAGTCCAGGTGAGATGCCAGGGGAGCTTTTCTTTGAATCTGACTTGATTTCAAGTTGCTGAATTCTGTATCATAGTGGTATCCAACACTTAATTTCATTCTGATCTCGTGCTTGCCTCTGCTGGACAAAGCACCAAGTTCTGCTGGACGCAGAGGAAGCTCAATCCAGGGGCCACTGTTGCCAGTTCAAAGAAGTGCTGCAGACTAGCAGTTGGTGTGTGACTGGGTTGCTGTTATCTTCACATTGTCTGAGGATTCCTTGACTTATTTAAACCAGGCAGAGGGCGAAACCTTGGGCAAGTTTCCTTACTCCACATGCCTAATAATAATCCCTCCAAAACAATAATAAATTGGTCATTTTCAATCCACGACTGTCTGTGGGACGCTCCTGTGCGCAATTGGCTGCCGCGTTTCACCCACAAATATATGGTCAATTCACTTTAGTCTATTCTGTGAAGCGCTTTGGGACGTCTAGAAGACGTGAAAAGGCACTGTATCAAATACAAGGATAATTATTATTAAACCAAATGATCGGTTTAGCACTTCAGTGTGTCCGTGTAGTAGGATTTGATATTTGGTAGCATGAGATGGTGATAACTGTCCATTTATTGTCTGATCTATTGGCTAAGCTTTAATTTAGTAAGCAAGATAACTTGTGTACATTCCCTGTGCAGCTTTACTTACACAGAATGTTCTATTTCTGCAGTGATGACGTCCATTCTACAATCAAGCCGACGAGACCGGAATTCCTGTCTAGCAACACAATGCTACCTCCTGAAGTCTTGACCTTTCGGAAGTCCGAAGTAGTTGAGGGCATGTTGGTGCGAGGGACATCCCTCAATGACGGGAGGGCTTTAGCATCGGGCATGTATAATGGAATGAGCCCTTCCTACCCCCTGTACAGCCACCTGCCTGCTCACAATTTCTCTGGCAGTCCTTACCCGAGTCATGAGTTCAGAGATGCGCAAACCCCCTTGACTGAGATCCAGAAGGTGAGAAGATACCAAGGTTCATGTGTGGTGCAAGACAACACAGACCCGATGTACAAGTACAGCAGTAGGTCTGCGGGTGACACGGCCAATATTTGTTACTCAAATGCTTTCTTTCCCAGAGAGAGTCGTAGGGAAGATGAAGGTAAAATGGATTTGCATTACAGTCCAAGCCACAGCACACAACCAGCAGTGCCGCTGCTCAGAACCAGCGTGGTGAGTTACTCAGCCCCACTGCAGACCAAGAGCAACAAGGTTCAGGAAACCAATGGCTCGGCAGATGAGCCGCAAGGACATGTTACGCCCAGCAGCCCGACCGTCAACCCGAAAGGTGTTCCAATTGGACCGCAGAGCCCACTCAAATCCGACTGCCAACCCAACTCCCCCACCGAGTCCAGTAGCAGCAAGAATGCTTTCAGGAGCCAGGGCTCCGAGTCTCCCACTGCCAAGAGTCCGATTGACCCCAAAGCCTGTAACTGGAAAAAGTACAAATTCATCACCCTGAACTCCCTGAACCAGAGCTCCAAGCCTGAGAGCGAGACCCATCTGGAACAAGAGACTTTCACCTGTTTGCCCACACCTTGCCGGCAGCAGGAAAACCTGGACGCCCAGATTCCAGCAAAAATGGATGTTAGTAGTGATGATGTGACCTCTCCCCAAGCCAGTAAACTCAACAGCATTGTGAACCGGTACGTGCGACTGCAACAGAAATGCAGGAAATATTTGCCAAAAATTGCGGGGAGTTGGTTGGTGCTGTCGAGGTACATGTTACTGGCAACCTACATTTTTCACTTTATCAATTTTAAAAACAAAACGTGAGGAAATAACACATTAGGTTGTTGCAAAAATTAATTGCTTCAAACCTTTTTTGTGTGGTGGGTGGGGGGGACACCAACCAAGCTACAGGAGTTCTCAGGGCTCAGCACCACACACAGACCAGGAGAGACCGAGAGAGAGAAACACACACACAGTATATATGTGTGTATAAGCCGTGAGTGCAGCCTGGCGCCCATGCCCTGGTGTGTACTATGTGGCCTCCACTGTATTCCTTACAAATGGCCACACTCGGCATTGCACTCGCTCAATATACACCTTGTGCAATAAACGTGCATAATGAAAAAGCCACTAGATTGTGACCTTATTCAATCTATTATGCAGGTTCCATTTATCTGCATCCTTTAGGAAACTTTAATAAGATTTCCCCTGAGCCTTCTGTTCTCTGGCGTGAATATTCCTAGCTCCGAAGCTTCTCCTCGTAACTCGGGTGTCTAATCCTAGCCGTCAGTCTAGTTGTTGTGAACCACTTTAACTGATGATGTTCCTTTCTGCCCCAGGCTGCCTGGGGGCTCCTCGCAGGAGAGCGAGCGTGACTCACCAGTACACATGTACTCACGCAAGTGCAGCTCCTGTGGCTCACACTCTGACCTCTGCCACCACCCTCCTCCCAGCCACCTGGGTGAGGAGCTGACCGAGACTCAGTCAGAACTCTCCGACTGCAGCTCAGGTGAGAAAGGAGGAAGTAGAGGGGTGAGGGGGAGAGGTAATTGTGTAAGCAGATTCCACATGTGTGGTGGTGGGTGTGGTGGGGATTGTGGGGTTGAGCACATCTGAATTAAATTTGATTACAGGCTGACAGTGGATTTCAGGGTTAAAATGGCTTAACGAGTTTGAGAACGAGTTGCCATTTTAGTGATGCGATAGTTCAATGCACTTTTCCTGTAACTGATGCTAATCTCTGCTGATGCAGCTGATATCATTTTACCCCAAGAAGTCTGAAAATACCCCGACTGCTACAATGTGACGTCAGTCTGGCTCAGCCACTCGCACTCTCACCTTTGGCTTGAGCCCCACTGTTGGGATTGTGAGCTCCATGTTGTGTGAGTGAGAGACACCAGGGGAGCTGTAGAGAGCTTGTTACTGTGAAGTGCTCGGAGACAACGTCTGGCATGGAGGGCGCTATATAAATCCAAGTTGTTGTTGAGATCTGGTTCAGCGCAGAGCTGAATGGCCTCCAGTCTCCGAGCCCAGGGCTGACCTGTCTCCTGGTTACAGATAATGGGTCCTTTTTCTGCACCGAATGTGACTCCAAGTTTGCCGAGGAAGCTGCTCTGAAACGGCACACGCTGCAGGCCCACAGTGACAAGCCGTACAAATGTGACCGGTGTCAGGCTGCCTTCCGCTACAAGGGCAACCTGGCCAGCCACAAAACTGTGCACACAGGTAGGTCTGAACCACAATGTGCTGCAATCTGTGGGTGAGAATGTGGTGCATGACGTTCACTAAGAGGATGTGGATGCATGTGGGAATCTGGGGAGTGGGGGCGCAGGTGTCTGTCTCTGTGTGTGGTCAATGTCTGCGTGTGGAGGCAGGTTGTCTGGATGTGGGGGTGGAGTGTATATGTGTGTGCGGGGCAGGGTAGTCTGTGTCTGGGGGCTGGTGTCTGGGGAGCAGCCAGTCACCTGTTGCTGTTTGTGTGGCAGGTGAAAAGCCCTATCGGTGCAGTATCTGTGGGGCACAGTTTAACCGGCCGGCCAATCTGAAGACTCATACTCGCATCCACTCGGGGGAGAAACCTTATAAATGTGAGACCTGTGGAGCTCGCTTTGTGCAGGTTTGTTCTCATGTCTCCTGTCTCGTGGCTGGGATAGGAGCTGGGCTAGAGGGGCAAACAGCAAACAAATATGTGCCTTCTTTCTCAGTCACTTTTTATTGATCCCCATACAATTATACAGCACAGTAGGAGGCCATTTGGTCCATCGTGTCTCTGGGAGATGGGGGCTGGATGTATGGGCGGGGATTGAGGTGGGATTGAGGTGAATTATTCAGACAGGGTGGTTGGTGCTGTCACTGTCAGCTCTCTGTGTCGGGTTGTGGGGTTCAGTCTCGCTGACGGTGGGTTATGTGTCTGAAGGTTGCTCACTTGCGGGCACATGTCCTGATCCACACCGGGGAGAAGCCGTATCCCTGTGAGATCTGTGGCACCCGCTTCCGGCACCTCCAGACCCTCAAGAGCCACCTCCGCATCCACACCGGAGAGAAACCCTACCATGTGAGTGTGTGTGCGTGTAGGGGGGGCAGATGAGGGAGGAGGCTGGCGAGATGGGGGGGCGAGCTTAGGAGAGGGGGGAGGCTATCCTGGGTGGGGGGTTGTGGGGGAGGCTAGCTTGGCGGGTGGTGGGGGTGCGGGAGGCCTGGCTGGGGGGGGAGGCCTGGCTGGCTGGGGGCGGGGGGAGGCGGCTGGCTGGGGGCGGGGGAAGCTGGCTGGGGGCGGGGGGAGGCGGCTGGCTGGGGGCGGGGAAAGCTGGCTGGCTGGGGGCGGGGGGAGGCGGCTGGCTGGGGGCGGGGGGAGGCTGGCTGGGGCTGGCTGGGGGCGGGGGGGCTGGCTGGGGCGGGGGGGGGCTGGCTGGGGGTGTGGGGAGGCTGGCTGGGGGCTGGCTGGTGGCGGGGGGGGCTGGCTGGCTGGTGGCGGGGGGGGCTGGCTGGCTGGGGGCGGGGGGGTGCTGGCTGGGGGCGGGGGGAGGGGCTGGCTGGGGGCGGGGGGAGGGGCTGGCTGGGGGGGGGGGAGGGGCTGGCTGGGGGTGGGGGGGGCTGGCTGGGGGAGGGGGGGGGCTGGCTGGGGGTGGGGGGGGCTGGCTGGGGGTGGTGGGGGGCTGGCTGGGAGTGGTGGGGGGCATGGCTGGGGGTGGTGGGGGGCTGGGGGTGGGGGGGGGCTGGCTGGGGGTGGGGGGGGGCTGGGGGTGGTGGGGGGCTGGCTGGGGGTGGGGGGATCAGATAAAAGATAACTAGTAACAGCATCATTCAGAATACTTGCCTTCACTAATCCTTACATCAGTGCAGCAATCAGAAGGTGTAACACACAGGGACAGAAGATACCATACAGTCAGAACATTGATGAGACATATTCCTTGAATTTTATATAGTCATTTTAAGGTGAAAGTGTCTCAAATGCTTCACAAAGAATTACTGTCAGGTGTAGTGACTACATATTCTGTATGCAATTGCTACACCAATTTGCAGAGCTAATATTCCACAAATAGCAACAAAGTGAATTACTAATTTTATTAGGGAATTGTTAGCCACGACACAGGGAACTATCTCTTTTCAAGGAGTGCTATGGGATCTTTTACATCCACCTGAACAGTCAGGACCTCAGTTTAACATATCATCGAAAGAAAGGCACCTCCATACATCATTGAGGGTCAACTTAGACTGTAAACTCAAGTGGAGAGTGAGCCTCAGGCACAACAACACTGGTCACTGAAATATGACGGTTTGTTTAATCAAATATCTAATTGAGTGTTTATTTGCTGCTTGTTGTGAAAGGATGTGTGTGTGTAGCCTATTATTGCTTGTGTTGGGAAGTCAGTCTGTGACCTCTCATACATAAGAACATAAGAATTAGGAGTAGGAGCAGGCCATTTGCCCCCTCGAGCCTGCCCCACATTCAATAAGATCGTGGCTGATCTATTCTAACTCCACCTATCCGCCTTATTTCCATATCCCTTAATCCCTGTATCCCCAAGACATTTATCAATCTCAGTCTTGAATATGTTCAAGGACTGAGCATCTACAGACTGCCCTTTGGAGTAGAGAATTTCATAAATTCACTACCCTCAGAGTGAAGAAGTTTTTCAACTCCGTGCAAAAGGGCTTACCACTAATTTTAAGACTGAACCCTGGTTATAGTTTCTCCAACCAGGGGAAAAAGTCTCCCACTACCTATTCTGTCGTGCCCCTTAATAATCTTATAGGTTTTTGTAAGATTACCTCTCATTCTTCTATATTCTAGAGAATATAGGCCTAAATTACTCAACGTATCCTCATAACTCATCCTCCTCATCCCAGGTACCAACCTAGTGAATCTACGTTGTACCCCCTCCAAGGCGAATACATCCTTTCTTAAATAAGGAGACCAAAACTGCACACAGTACTCTAGATGCGGCCTCACCAGGGCCCTATACAGTGCAGCAAGACTTCCCTACTCTTATATTCTAACCCTTTTGTAACAAATGCCAACATACCGTTAGCTTTCCTAATTGCTTGCTGTATCTGCAAACTAACATTTTGTGACTGGTGTACAAGGATACCCATGTCCCTCTGAACGCTAACACGATCTAGTCTCTCCCCTTCTAAAAAAAAATCTGCTCTACTGTTTTTGCCACCTAAGTGGATGACCTCACACTTCCCTACATTATACTTCTGCCTGAAACTTACCTCCTAATAATCACATAGTTTGGCTTATCTGATGTGGAGCTGATTTGGTGAATGTCCGGCAATAAGAGGTTTCAGAGAAATGTCATCGTCCGAGATTAACATTTCCACATTACACAACGCCCTACTGTTGTGCCTTTGGGGAAATGGTCCTGGTAAGAAGTAGGGGAAATTCACACTCGCCTTCCCCAAGTGCTGAAAGACACAGCAAACACATGCTACTTGTTGGCCCAGATGATTAACATTTTAGGTCAGTTATAGATCTGCAGGAGGGAGCCAGGTACAATGCAAGATGGTAGCATAAAGGGATTGGCAGCTGGCAGGAAGATGTGTCTGCTAAGTGAATGGGTAAACAGTCGAGTGAGGTATGAGCAGGAGCCAGGGTGTGATATGTCGGTGCAGATCTTGAATGTGATCCATTCTGCAACAGGAAGTGGAGCATGGGAAGGACTGGGGAGATAGCGGTGAGGAGTTTGGATGAGTTGTGGCTTATGGTTGGTGGACCTGGGGAGATCAGCATTGAGTGCTTTGGAGACCAGCCTCAGGTGCAGCAGGTTAGGTTTCCTGCAAATGGGAAAACGCAAACACAATGACAAGCCATTGTTGGGAAGTGCACCAGTAAATGAGGAAAGTAATGACAGGACAAAGGCAGCATCTTAAACTTTTATTACATTCTTACAGCTAGACTGTACAGTATGAGTGACAATGCATCGCTATCCAAACCCGCACTTCCAAACTTTAATAATAAAATCTTTGAATCTTTGACTGCCCGTTCTGAAACTGAGCTTTTGGTTCTGGGGAACGAGCTCACCCTCCCCCATGGGGTGGGGAGTGAGATGGCAAAGGGGATAGGGTTGAGGAAACATTCCCCTCCCCACCACAGTTAGAGTAC